TGTCCCTCCAGCACCGGATGTGGCTCCAACAGGCAGTGCCTGTGACACCAGCCGGGAGCTGACGCCACGAATGACCACATCAAACCGGGAACGTCCGGGCACCAGCTCAAGAAGGCAGGCTGGACACCTGTTGGAGCTCTGTGCCAGGCAGGACAGTCTCTCTGCACCAGCCGAGGGCCGGCCTTGTCTTGACCTCCGTCCTGAGACACATGTCACCATGACCCCGGTGGGGTGCTGGTGCCACCCCACCCCCACCCCACGCACAACCCCGCAAGAGTTCGGAGCACTGTGGAGTGCCCTGCAGTCGGCACCTGGCCAAGCGACAGGTAAACAACGAGCAAACAACACAGCCAGGCCTCAGAGGTACCTTTGGTCCCTGAAGGTGGGGGCGGGGGCGGGGAGTAGTCTGGGACCTGTGCGGGCTGTGGGCCAGGGAGGTCCCAAGACCAGCACTTCCCTACATGCCACTGCCATCGTCAGCATCTTTCCTCGGTTTCCTTCAAGCCAAGTCAGAGAGGAGCATCTTTGTGGAGAAGAGCAGGCGAAGGAGTGGATTCCTGCTCCCAAAGCACTTTCCTGGCTGCCTCCCTCCCAGAGGGAACAGAGAGAGGCATCCGTTACCCAGCGTCCCTCAGTGGTTAGCTTCCCCTTCCTAGCTGGCAGAAGCCTGGGTTGCTTCGAACTTTCTCTGCCTCACTTGGAATTCCTTACGGTGAGTTTGCGGTCTTTTATTTTATTTTTTACAAAAGCAATAAAGTCACTATTCGTTTTATTTTAAAAAAAAGAAACATTTTAAAAAGCCAGGATGACAGGGCCACCCTCTCCCCCACGAGCAAGGACTGGGTCTGCCAATCAGGAAGCCTCCTCTTACTTGGGATTGTCTCCTAAAAACAGTGCACCCATCTCACCGTATCCATCTGTGGGCCTAGGCTGGCAGGGCTACAGGGCTCTGTGGCTACCGGTACACTCAGGGACCTGCCGGGCTCGCTGCGACACCCCGGCAGTGCGTTTCTGTGTGTGTTCACCCTTGTGTGGACTTTTATGCCTCTGATGTAGTCAAACTGTCCTTTTGGGAAAAAAATCGTGTAGAACCAGTATCTCTGTGAACTTTTACTCAAATCTCTCTCTCTCTCTCTCTCACACACACACACACACACACACACACACACAGGTCAATTCATTATGCAGGTTAAGGCCCCGTATTCTGAGTGTCTAGGTGAGGCGGATTGTCTCAACCTGAACCAGTACCCAGGTCAGGAACAGGTTGTTCTGAGGCCTCCCTGGGTTCACGCACTTGGCTGCTAACAGAAAGGTGAGCCTTGGGCCCCCTCAGGGGCACGTGAAGGAAGAAAGGCCTGCTGACCTCCTTTTGAAAAATCCACCACCAATTTGAGGGAGCACACGTCCACGTTGACACACACGGGCTGCCTGGAGGCGGAGTCGATTTGAGAGCACTGGGTAGTCACTGGGTCTAGGGGTCCCCTCCGGTTACTAATCCCCCTTTCCTCTCTCACCCAGGGCTTCACGGGACTGCTGTCGGTAGAGGTTAGTTTCGCCTCTATGCATTTCAGGGACTCTTAACAGGCCCCTTGTAGGGATGGAGAGAGATCCCAGGGGAAAAATTACATCTCGTTCTCATTAATTTCTAACTGAAACCCAGAATTTCCTTCAATCATGGACACGCGAGGAGACAATACACCTGAGGTATTAGCAATCCCCGGGACCAAAAGAAATGGCAAGTACCTCCATATTCCTTGATGGATGTTACAAGTATTTTTGAAATATTATCCCTGTTTCTCATGACTTTCTCAAAATCATAGTATATGTCAAAACTCCTTCATGGCTCACTCTGGGCTAAACTCACAACTGTGGAGCCTATTCTGACACACACAGTTCCCCATAGGACAGGGTAGAACTGCCCCTGTGGGTTTCTGGGACTGTAACTTGCCGAGAGCCTCATCTTGCTCCTGTGGAGTGGTTGGGTGGTTCTGAGCTGCAGACCTTGCAGCTAAGAACCCAACGGGTAACCCCCTACACCACCCATGACAGTCCTTAGACCCACGGTTAGCTTTTATTAAGTATATGGATTAAAGAAGCACTTATAGAACTCTATCCAAAATTCATTTCTAAGCACTGGTAGCTGTATTTCAACATAACTGGTTTCCCTTTTAATCCTCCACATTTTATTTTTGTTGTGGGGAGTGTGTTTCTGGGGTGGGCTTTGGCTGTCAGAGTAGAAGGTTACTGAGCTTGGTCCCCACACAGGTGCTTGCCTGGGGACAATGAATAAGTCTGTCCCTTCCTCAACACCAGTGTTCTCCTCTGCAAAACAAGGGAGGGAGGGGTGAAGTGAGCACTCCCCCCCGACCAGTTCTTTTGTGGGAAGTCTGACATTGCTTTTCATGTCACAGGTGTAGGTCTCAGCTTTGGGCTTGGCCGGTGCCCTGTTGTATCTCACCCAGGTTGTCTGGGTCATTTCTGGGCAGGGATGGGTGCAGCACTAACAGTTGTCCCAGGAGACAGACTGGCCTCGGGACCCCATCCTGCTCACCACTCTGAGACTTTGTGGCACTTACATCATCTCCTGTCAACTTGCAAAGGGGTGGAGTCTAGCCTGTCAATCAGGTCATAGCCAATGAGGCCTCCGTGTGGGCATGGCCTTCTCCTGAGGATTCTGGGAACTCCTGGATTCCTCCCTGGGGGCGGGAGAATCACTCTGCTTGTCTTCCTGCCGACAAGCCACCTAGAGACCCCTGATGGAACCAGAGCCCTGGAGCTGGAGGAGCCACATGGAGACCCACGTCAGCACTGAGATGCTTCTACCGTCACTGTATCTACAAGACTTTCCACTCCTGGCCTGTGGTCTTCCTGCATTTGGTGTCATTGCATGTGTTGTGTGGGTCTGAAGAGGAAATTATAGACTGGTATCGGACATGTGAGCTAATATCGGACTTATGGAATTGATCTGGACTGGGCTGGGATGTTTTCTTAATGTACAATTACTCTTTGATATAAATCTCTTTCTTACGCACATATGAATGTCTATGAATTTGTTTCTCTAGTCTACCAGGACTAACACAGTCCTGCTGCAACCCAGTGGGAGAGGCAGAACCACCTCAAGGGGTCAGGCCCAGGGGAGGGTGGGACGAGGGAGCCTGACTGAGACCAGAGGGCAGGTGTCTGCGCAGTACCACGCCCTTCTCACCCCGTCCACCCAGCCTCCTTCTCCTGGGCCCTGGGTCCTAGGAAAGGACTCTGAGCTCACACACCCTCAGGCCTCGGCACCTTTGTCAGCTTGGAAGGGGTGTGGGCCACCCAGGGGTGCTGCTTGAAATCTGAATCCAGATGAAGGCCCTGCTCCCGTGGGGCCAGGCAGCCTCAGGTTCCAATGTAAACCCAGCTTGAGTGGCCTTTGTCTCTGGGCCCCCGCAGGCGGCTCCAGCTGGCTGGGCAGCTTCGTGTTCTCCCTTGTCCCCCTGCTGCCTGCACACCTGGCTTGGGCTCTGCCCTTTCTTCAACAGTGGCGGTGGGTGCAGGGCCCACACCCTGCTGTGGCAGAGCCTGATTGAGACCCGGCTGCAGGTTTCCTGGGATGCCAGGGAGGGCAGGGCACAGGCATGTGCTAAGCCCAGCCATACCCCTGAGGCCCAGGAGGCCGGGTCCTGGGCTTGTCAGGGGGACACTCAGCTCTGGCAGTGGAAGGCCAGGGAGGAAAGAAGCCCCTAGCAAGCGGTCAGTCCACACAGCTCCAATGTGCCCGGGAGGCAGGACCTGACTGCACTCTAGGGCCACCACGACTCTCCCTTGAGAGGCCAGCACTTGGTGACTGCCCGCTCCTGCAGGACAGCTTCTCCTAGCTGACCTCTCTTGGTGGGCCACTCGCCGCTGTCCGTCCTGTCAGGTTCACCCAAGCTCTGGGCCTCCAAGCCCCA